TGGTGGGGGAGTTCATCAACAAAGGTATGGAAAACTGGTACGCACGGAGAGGAATTGAGCACATCCGAGTGGGTCCAAAACGTTCTCAATTGAACTTGTGCGAACGAACGCATCAGTCATTGGTGGACATGATGAAAACCACGATGGTACATGCAGGCTTTCCTCGGAGTCTATGGCCGGAAGCACTAAGAAATGATGTATACGTCAAGAATAGGGTATACAACCGTGGCACTCAAGGGATTCCTTACGAGATGATATTTGGAATGAAACCTGACGTGCATCACATTGGGAAGTTTTGATCTCTGGCATATGTTCATGTTCCTGTGACGTCTGGAAGACGCAAGCATGATAACAATGCCAAGATTGGCTTTCTACTCGGTTATGAAGTAGGCTGCAAAGTTTACTTTCCTGATGAGCACACCGCCAGGTTTGTGTCTGATCTACGAGTTGCTGAAGATGTAGGCTACAAAGACCGTCACGAAGGTGCTGTAGATGAGGAGGACCTCGAGTCACTGCACTTTACCCGACGTGATGACCAGGATGTTTTTTGGACTGTGACAACAGTTTGAACCACGAAATGGCTACATCCAAGACAATGGAGATGGTTAGCGAGCAAAATTCTAAGTTGTATATTGGACTCGTGGGAGGCGAGGTGGATGTAGCGGCTGACAGTGAGCTCGAGAAGGGCGTTCAGCTGGCAGATGCTGTCTCAAATGCTCTAAATAGTCGACTACTCACTGATGCAGCTTCGAGCGCATGTAATCTTACTACTAGCATTCCAGGGAGCGAAATTGAGGCAAGTAGTTCAAAAAATCTTTGTGCTGGTGGCAAGCAGTCGGAATCATCTACACAAAATGGTGGGCTGACGTTGAGTCTGTGGTGGGAACACGGGGCTCATCGTTGGATGGAAATGAGGTGGATGATGACAACGAAGCAGGATTCCCGACAGACGACGACATTACTGTAGCAAGTGTGGTCTCATTTGATGAGAAGACTATCTCAATGGAGAATAACAACTCGTCAAGTGGTGTGGGGCTTGAAGAAGACCCAGAGCGTACTGATGAACATCAAAGTGCGGTTATGGACAATAATAACGCGCAGAAGATGGACGCTAGTGTTTGTCTTGATCCAGTTGTCATTCGAGAAGCTGGAAAGCGTACACACCGCGATGAAACTCAGTCGGAAGAGGCTCGTGTGGAACACGAGGCCGCTAAGCCAGATACCAAGAGTACTCGAACAGGACTTCGAGAGGTACGAGAAAGACGTCGACCTCGACGCTTTGATGACTTTGTGATGAATGCAGCGACTTCACGGGTTCTGGATGAGAATGGACGGCCTATTCGTGCTTGCGAGGTGAAGATTCCTCGTAACAGACGTGAGGCACTGCGATCCAGGTTTGCTAACTATTGGATGGAAGCAGAGATGGTAGAGATCGCTGCACTGAAGGCAAAGAAGGTCATCCAAGAAATACCGGATGAGGACATGCCCGAAGATGCGAAGCCTGTGAGTACAATGTGGGTCTATGCCTTGAAGTCTGATCATCAGGGTTACGTGATAAGATTCAAGGCTCGGATAGTGGCGTTGGGGAATCACCAGCGACCAGGCATTGAGTTCAAGAAAACGTTTGCCCCTGTGGCAAGAATGGCTTCGTTTAGACTGTTGTTGGGACTGGCGGCATTACTGGGATAGAGGTATACGGAGGAGACGTGAATACCGCTTACCTCAATACATGGCTAGACATACGACAATATCTACACTCCATCAACGGATATCCGTGCAGAGTGAGTGGCCATTCTTACGTGGTACTTAAGGCTTTGTATGGATTAAGGCAATCGGGTCGAGAATGGAACTCAGAGCTAAATGATTGGTTCATTCAGCGTGGATACCAAAGATCGTTGACGGAGCCGTGCCTGTACTATCTGTTTGATGGTGGCACGATGGTATACGTGCTAGTATACGTCGACGATATCTTGGTTGCAACAAACAGCAAGGAGTACAAGGATCAGTTGTTCATGGACTTGGACAACACGTACGGTCTCAAGGACCAAGGGCTGTTAACACAGTACTTAGGTGTGGAAGTGACTCACACGCCAGAGTACATTATGATCAGTCAAAGCAAGTACGCAAGAGAGATTCTTGGTAAGCTGGGATTTGAAAACGCACATGCAGTAGGGAACCCAATGGAAGTGAATTCACGGCTCACACCTCTTGGAGAGAAGGAGAGTGCAGACAGCAGCTTTCCGTACCGTGAGGCCATTGGTATGCTCATGTACCTGGCTACAAGTACCAGACCGGACTTGGCTTATTCATTAGGCCAACTGAGTCGCTTCGTTGCGAACCCATCGGCGAAGCATATTGGAACAGTAAAGAGAGTGCTGCGCTACTTGGCCGGGACTTTGGATTATGGAATCAAGTACGAGAAAAAGAAGAACAACTCGAAGGAGTTGGTGTTGCAGGGCTACTGTGACAGTGATTGGGCTAATGATCAAGATCAAAGGAAGAGCACTACTGGTTTCGTGTTTACGCTGGCAGGCGGAGCTGTAGCATGGATGTCACGAAGACAATCCCGTCATCGCGTTGTCGACCGCGGAGGCGGAGTACATTGCAGCGTGTGAAGCCACAATGGAGGCAGTTGCGGGGGAAAATGTTTTGCAAGAGATTTTACCGCAGCACGATGTGAAATTGCGTGTAGGAACTGACAGTCAAGCTGCTCACGTGATGGCAACTAATCCTACCTACAGCAGACGTACGCGCCACATTATATTACGGTGGCATCACGTACGAGAGCAAGTGCAAAAAGGCACTGTGGAGTTGCATAAGGTGAAGGGGGTAACAAATCCGGCCGACACGTTCCCCAAGCCTCTGGACAAGAAGCGACTGAAAGGATTGTTGCTGATTGCAGGCATTGGAGCAGAAAAGTAGTCGAAGACCAGTATTCGACATCGAAGACCGATCTTCGAGAAGGGCGAGTTGGATTGTGCATCGAGGCCTGGCGCAGATTGAAGAAAGCTGGAACAGCAAAGAAACCAGATCGTTATATGAGAGAGGGCAAAGGCCCGTGAGTGTTGGTCAATGCTCAGGAAGCAGAGCAACTGACACAAAGTAATTCAGTCTTCATATTTTCCCTTTGCATCAAGGAGCTTGTTTGTTACTTCACGGAGCGTGTCTAAGAGCTACAACTCCCAACATGCTGCACAAAATGCAGGTGGCTCTCGCGGAGTCTCAGCGACCAACCATCAAAATGAGAGGCCGCAGATCGATTGTAGATTGCGGTTCAGCTGGACCGCTGGTCCGTAGGGCTCCATCAAGCTCGGTTAAAGGTTATTGCCTGGAGAGAGCGCGGAATAAATTATTTGATTTTGAAATGGGAGCTCGCAAATACATTATTTAGCTGCAAAATAAAAATTATATTTAATAAAAATAACATTTTCGGAACCCCTGCATGTCCAGCACAAAATATTGCTCCTGAACTTTATTTCGGATCAAGATTTTCCCCCTGATAAATACAATGAGGAAAATGGTAACCGGGAAGATGAGGGAGTCGTAGCGTATGCACTTACACTGTCGCGCAGTCATCGGCGCTCGATATGTACCGAATTTCTTGATAGCGAAATCGCACTGAGGGGTAAATAAAGCAGGAGCAAAACTTAGTCAATGCAAGAAAACTCTGGCTTCGCACATCAATTAATTTCACTTGGTTATAACTACAGTTGACAGCCAGAATTACTACTGGTCACCACCTTGGCCATCCATAACGCCAAGCTGTCCAGCTGAGCCGAATCTTCCTTGACCACCAAAGCCTCCGGCACCTCCAGCGCCAAAGGCACCACCGCTCATTCCTCCGAAGCCACCGAGGCCACCTGCACCACCGTTGCCACCGAAACGCCCGTTAAATCCGCCCATGCCTCCGCCGAATTGTCCGCCGAGTCCACCAGGCTGCCCACCGGCACCAAAACCTCCGAATTGACCACGTCCATTGCCACCAGCCCCAGCGAAACCTCCTGCACCACCGGCACTTAAACCACCAAAGCCTCCGGCACCACCGGCACCAGGACCAACGGGGCCGGCTCCACCCACAGGACCGGCACCATTGCCGTCAGGACCAGCACCAGCATCGCCAGCACCAGGTCCACCTTGAGGAGCTCCGAGGCCGTTACCAGACACTGGTCCACCATTTGGCGTCGTTGGAGCGGGCGTTGCAGGGCCGCCGTTGCCAGATCTGCCATTACCAGCTCCGCCGTTGCCAGCTGCACCGTTGCCAGTTCCAGGGCCCGTCATTCCAGCACCTGGAGCACCAGGGCCACCAGCACCAGCCATTCCACCACCGGGAGCACCAACACCGCCTGCTCCAGCCATGAACCCGTTGGTAGTCGTGCCGGCTCGACGGATAGCAGCACCGTTGCCTCCAGCTCCGAAACCGAGCTGATTGCTGGCTCCAAATCCACCACCGAGTTGTCCAAAGCCACCGCCAACGGTGTTGCCAACCTGGTTGAAGCCCGCAGCACCTCCACCTAACTGACCGATACCAGCCCCACCGGCACCCATACCACCGCCAAATCCGTTGGCCCCTCCGCCCATTCCACCCATTCCGCCCATTCCACCTCCAAAGCCATTGCCGTTACCAGCGCCGAACTGCTCACTACGACGAGTCATGGGACCCCGACGTACAGGTCCACGAGGCCCTTGAGCTCGAGCATAGCCGTTGAAAATGGCGAGTGCAGTAATAGCGAGTGCGAGTCGAGTCGTCATGATGAAGATTGTTGTTGGCTTTCGAAGTGAAAACTGGAAGACTTGGGCTGAAGACGGGAAATCCGAAAGTGAGAGTCCCGATGACCCACGCCCAGGAAGAGAACAGAAGGCCAAAGTGTCATTTTCTGTGGTCAAGAGAATCGATCCATCGGTCAATCTTACTTTGACTCTCATTGTCATTCTTAAACCATGTGCTTAGACTGTGGGGAATGAAGGCTGGTCCCAACTGTCTTCCTATTACCATTGGTGTCTTACAGGAGGAACTGCACTTGGCTGGCATCTTCTCGGGTGAGTCGTAGAATGTGCTTGGGTTGGTCCGAGTTGCTGCTGCTACTACCATCAGGGTTGTCTTTGCGCGTGAGGAAATTGAAGCGACACGTCTGGATAATCTGCTTGAGACCAGCGCTTGCTCCGCCGGTGGAAGATGGTGCGCCTCCATTCGCACTTTGCTGCAGTGCTGCCAGTTTGTGTTCCGTGAGACAGGACTGGTGCATCTTGAGCATACCACCGAACAGACCAGCGTTGCCGCTGTTCCACCACCGGACGCTGGCGTCGCGAGCTGCATACGACACCAAAACTTGTCCGTCGGCACGGAAGCGAACAGCCGAGACGGCCGAGCCGTGCCCGTCCAGGACGCGCCATTTCGTGGCCGTGCGTAAGTCGTAGATGACGATCACCGCCTCCATGGTGCCTAGTGCCAAGCGCTGTGTCTCCTTGTGGAAGTCCACCATGGGGAACCGCCGCACAAGACCGTGTAGACAGCGAGTACTCAGTGGTAGACACCGCCGGCGTCTCTCGGGCTTTGTGGGGTCCAAACCGGCCATGATCGTGTCCACGAATGCCGGGAGGTGTCGGCACATGAGCAGGTAGTGTGTGTTGATGAGTTCCATCATGTACAGCAGAATACTCTCGTGGAAACCAGAGCGGCGGTCGTGGTTGTGCATTTCTTGCTGTAATAATCCCAGAACGAACGCCGACTCATAGGCACCAACCTCCACCAACAGACTCATCGCCGCATTGCTCCCACCAGTTCCGCCTTCGTTGAAATCGGATAGGGAGCCTCCCGGACCGGGCGCTACGCCTTCACTATCGTCGCTCTGACTGCGTTGCTTCTCACGCATGTCAATCAATAGTAACTGGACTATAAACGACGATAAATCCACAAGATGCGGTCGAAATAACATAAGACCTTTCGTAAGCAGCTCAGCCGATACGGAAGCCACGAATCGCTCCGGGGCTTTCAGCAGGAAGACCAGCACATCGCACACTTCACGCGCACTGGCCGGTGAGATCTCGCCAGGGAAGTACGTGCCAATCATACTCATTAGAAGCACGAGCGAGCCCAGTCGGTCAACCACTAGAGAAAAGGACATCGTGGCTGAGTCATTGCCTGGGCCGACACTGCTGCTGCCGCCGGTGGTGGTACTATTGCCACTCGGTTGGGCACTTGAGCTTGGGCCGCCACTAGTTCCTACACTGCCCACAGTTCCTATAAAAGAGCTTCCCGTCTCGGTCTCCAAGCGCACCATTTCCCAGTGTAATTTCGCGGAATACTCGGCTGAAAGGATACTTTTCTCAGCTTGAGGGAGACGCTTAATCACGCCACCGAGTAGCGTACGGGCTGCTAGCTGCGTGTACTCACAGGAATCGAAGCCAAAAGCTGCTAGCTCCTCGAGAGATGGTACTCGGAACTGAGATACGCTCTCTGGTAGGACAACCGAGTGCTGCGTGATCAACTGACTCCACAGAACTTGGAACTCTTCCTTGTTGGCCGGCGACGTGCTCCCGTTGCCGGATCTGGAATGCTTGTACTCCATGCAGCTCATGCAGAGCGACACGACCCCGAGCGCTACGCTAGCCGACAGTGCTGACGAGTGTTGCCAATTCCGGGCGCAAGCAGGCACCACGGAATCTTCAAGCTCATTGCCGTTAACTGCAGCTGACGACTGTGTGGTCCATGGAACTGGAATGGTCAGCGCCCCCGAGATAAGGTCCTGCAGGGCACACGAGTAGAGCGCGTGTGCTGGTTCGATGCCTAAGATTGTCTGGCATGATTGATCGATAGCAGGAGTGACACCCCACGACAGCAGTAAGGACAGCATGAACAGCTCCATCGAGCCCGTCGCATACACTGAAGGCAGCTCATCCTCTCCGTTGTTCAAGACGAGAGAAGAGTAGTAACGTGTCCAGTTCTTCTTGAGCTGCTCGGCACTTCGAAGAACAGCAAACTCGATGAGTTGCACCGCTGCATTACCAATAAATAACGTCGAGTTTTCCACAAGAGAGCAGTCGCCAGTATTCGAGCTGTCCGCAGCTTTTTCAACCGACGCGTTGCCGCCCCCGTAGAGTAGCGCACACGGAACTGTACGCTCCAAAATGCCCGTGTCGATACTCCACACGTACACCATCCGATCTTCACACTCAACGTGCAGTAGTCCACGTTCTAGATGCCACTCGACGTTGCGGATTCTGTCGCCATGCTCCGCCAACTCTAGTACGCACTCCCACTCGACACTGCAGTGGTCTGTTGGTCGACTTAAGGGAGGCGTCGAGTACTGAGGTGCGTAAATGACAACTCTGCGATCGACGCCCACTGTAACAACCAGTCTGTCAGGATATCTAGTCTCCCCATTCTCTCCGTCATCTCCCACGACGCTTTTCTTGATTGGTGAAACGCTAATCTGCTGGATCGCACCACGATGATTGCGAAACTTTTGCAAAATGCTCGCTTCATGCTGGACCAATCCGTTTGATCCAGTCGAACGGTAGAGAATCAGCTCGATCACTCGGAGAACGCCGTCTGTGCCGCCACTAAACACGAAAAACTTGATCGAAGGCTGAGAGGTACTCGGACCGTCGTGACTTAACTCACTACTCGACTCAGAACCGCCCGACGTGCCTATTGCTAACGAGCGGCGAGGACTGCGCTCTCCAACGTTATGTCGATTACCGTTATTCTGTCTCCACGAGCACTCTGGAAAGCGTGACTTGTAGAAAGGGTTTTTCTCCGTTGCAAAGAGATTTTCGTCCATCGAGGATTGACTCGCGTTGCTGACAAAAGAAGGAAGACTCGAGGAAGCTCCAACTCCCCAAAAGCAATGTGCAAGCGCCGTAATTGGTCCGGAATGGCAAGCCAGCCGTGTCGCCGCATTTCCTTCTACATCTTCAGTTCTACTGGGCAAATGCTCGTGGGTCAGCAGCCCAATGTGTAGTACTCCACTCGAGAATCCCTTGGCGACAACAGGAATGTCCAGCAGGTATCGATAGGATAAAAGTTGTTCTCGTTGCTGTTCACTTTCGTCGACTTGGTGTTGTCTAGACTCGCTTCCAACTCCATAAGCTCCTCGTACCGTAACAGGGGCCAATGCAGTGGCCAGTACGCTAACGTTATTTGCCATAACCGCCGCCGCAGTGCTTGTAATGGACCCTCCGCTTCCGGTCGAGCTGGTTAGTCCATCATTTCGTTGTTGTTGGCGCTTACGACGCATTCCAGCTCGTCTAACCACTTCGTACGTTGATGACGACTGAGTGTCCTCCCTTCCGAGGATAAAATGGGTTAGGCAACCTCGATGTGGAGAAGAACGACGCGTTTCATCTCCCTGAGCAGCAACTGCAGCAGCCTCAAATCCATCTGTTAGAGAGTGAAAGCGCACCCGTTCTGTCAGTGGCAGTCTTGGGACAACAATGTTGCCCAGGTTCTGCATCTTGCGCGTTGGCGATGACACTCGCCCAGCTGACATCGTCCAATGTCCAAGCGTTCCACGATGGCACAGGTGCACGATCTCCATCAACGACTTCAAAGAACCAGCCTTCATACATGCTGTGTGTCTTGAATGCTGCCGTCCTCCCGTCGACTTCGTCGGCTTCGTCAGCTGATAATTATCGTCACAGCACTTGCATCGGTCCATCGAGGTGACATACACCGCCTTGTCAATCACTCGCAGCAGCTTCGAGTCGGATCGTGGAACCAGCTGATCTTGGTCTTTCGTGAAGATGAAAAACTTTCCAGTATTTTTTGCAGACGAGTCGGCTGTCAGGAACTGGAAAACGTGTCCCGTGTTGGTCCAGAGAGCGATGTTTCCGTCTTCCAAGAACTCGCCATTCTCCCAGTACACAGCTCCAGCACTACGCCGAGTTAGCCATTTGTTTCCATTGGTTGTAGCTGCCTGCCGTACGAGTTCCGACGGCGCAATGCGGCAACTTCCCACTGCAACATTAGGTCTTGACTTCCCGAACGAGTTCGAGCTGGCCTGGCTGTCACTGCGTCTCTCTAATGGACACAACCATTTGCGCTTCAGTACAGCAAACTTGGTCTTCCAGACGAGAAGTACGCAGGAAGAGTTCGGAGATACATGCACGGATAGCGGGAAGTAGCTGTTCTTGATCGATCCCATGAGTGCCGTCTGCGGATTCATGTTGTCTCCGTCTTTCAGCGAAGTACTTTGGGAGCACGTGATATCCTCCGCCTCGTCCGCCCACGAAATGACCCAACTACTTCGTTGGACCCAACGGAACCCCCACGCCACACTCGCTGACCCGCCATTTTCACTGACACTAAACGGTGTTCCACTTGTAGCACCCCGCGGTTGAGTCCACAGAAAACACTTGACTAGTCCCTCTGCTCCAAGCGAAAGCACCACAGCATCCCACCGATGTTCTGCAGCTCCACTAGGCGACAGAAAGGTAGCAAGTCGTCTTGCATCAGGGGACCCGCCCGCGATCGACTGTCGAGACGGGGACGCGACTCCACTGTCAGTGGCCAATTTCTCTCTCGGCGTTCCGTAACCTGTTTCAATCCCTGATCCGCTGCTTGATCGGAGCAATCGCGGCCTTGGAGGCTTTGGTTGAGGCATCCGCAGCTCTCCAACTGCGATACTGCGTCGGATCTGCTCCTGCGCCGTGTCCATGCAGTACAAGAGCTGCATCCGCCACGTATCCAGCACCATAAGCCTCGATTCTTCGCTCACCACCACTGCAAACCTCCTGTTACACAGCATCTCGAGGCCCAAGAGCGGCGCCAACTCTTTAGCCAGAGACGCGTTCGCTTCTGCGCAGGCTCCATTAGGTAGCTGCCACCGGGCTACTGCTCCGTCCCTTGAGGCTGATATTAACGTGCTCTGTCCCCACTCATCTGTCCCACTCACGATGCCGACAATGGGATGTCCGCAGCCGTCGCTGCCTGGGAACACGAGTAGATTGACTTGTGCTACAGCGTCCACTTCGAACCTCCAGTACAGGACAAGACCGTCCACCGTGCCTGCAAAGACGCACAATTGGGTACGAGTGTCTGCCTCGTTTGTCGCCTCTCTGTCCTCCTCGGCGGCGAATGTGGACGAGTTCTGGCTCGGCTGGGAGATTGGGAGCTGGACGACGTGCAAAGAGGACACTTTCACCTGCGGTGGCTCGCTCCAGAGCACGAGAGGGACAACTACGTCCTTCCCCGTAGCGCGATGCTGCTGGCGGCCATCTCGAGCATCTACGTGTGTCCTCCACGACGCGGTTTTCCGCACCATGCGGGTACTTGTGTGTTATCTGGAAGGACGGATTGCGACGCCCACAGAGAGATTGGGAGAGCGAGTAGGGGCGCAATAGGTAGAGCAGACGTGGTTTTATCAGATGAAGCAGAGTAGATGCACCGAGATACCGTCGGGGCAACACAGATGGAGTCGCGGATTGTGCCTCCGGGCTCCTTGAAGCGACGCTGGGCACGGCTCACTTCGTAAGGATGAAAGTCGTAGCGTAATGACTCAGACAAGTACGAATATTGTTTTTTTGCTTGAGCAAATTCATTTTATTAGTTTTTTGCTTGAGCAAATTTTATTAGTAAAAAAATGTTTTTCAGTGATCATATTCATCGAGACCTTGCAAATTGAAAGCTAGATCCGCCACCTACAAGAGGTTCAAGTCAAAATTGACCGATGGATCGATTCTCTTGACCACAGAAAATGACACTTTGGCCTTCTGTTCTCTTCCTGGGCGTGGGTCATCGGGACTCTCACTTTCGGATTTCCCGTCTTCAGCCCAAGTCTTCTTCCAGTTTTCACTTCAAAAGCCAACAACAATCTTCATCATGACGACTCGACTCGCACTCACTATTACTGCACTCGCCATTTTCAACGGCTATGCTCGAGCTCAAGGGCCTCGTGGACCTGTACGTCGGGGTCCCATGACTCGTCGTAGTGAGCAGTTCGGCGCTGGTAACGGCAATGGCTTTGGAGGTGGAATGGGTGGAATGGGCGGAATGGGTGGAATGGGCGGAGGGGCCAACGGATTTAGCGGTGGTATGGGTGGTATCGGAGGTGGTGCCGGTGGGGCTGGTATCGGTCTCGGTCAGTTCGGTGGAGGTGCAGCAGGCTTCAACCAGGTTGGCAACAACGTTGGCGGTGGCTTTGGACAACTCGGTGGTGGATTCGGAGCCGGCAATCAGCTCGGTTTCGGAGCTGGAGGCAACGGTGCTGCTCTCGGTCGAGCCGGCACGACTACCAACGGGTTCATGGCTGGAGCAGGCGGTGTTGGTGCTCCCGGTGGTGGAATGGTTGGTGCTGGCGGCCCTGGTGCTCCAGGTACTGGAATGACGGGCCCTGGAGCTGGCAACGGTGCAGCTGGCAACGGCGGAGCTGGTAATGGCAGACCTGGCAACGGCGGCCCTGCAACGCCCGCTCCAACGACGCCAAATGGTGGACCAGTGTCTGGTAACGGCCTCGGAGCTCCTCAAGGTGGACCTGGTGCTGGCGATGCTGGTGCTGGTCCTGACGGCAATGGTGCCGGTCCTGTGGGTGGAGCCGGCCCCGTTGGTCCTGGTGCCGGAGGCTTTGGTGGTTTAAGTGCCGGTGGTGCAGGAGGTTTCGCTGGGGCTGGTGGCAATGGACGTGGTCAATTCGGAGGTTTTGGTGCCGGTGGGCAGCCTGGTGGACTCGGCGGACAATTCGGCGGAGGCATGGGCGGAGGCATGGGCGGATTTAACGGGCGTTTCGGTGGCAACGGTGGTGCAGGTGGTCTCGGTGGCTTCGGAGGAATGAGCGGTGGTGCCTTTGGCGCTGGAGGTGCCGGGGGTGCCGGAGGCTTTGGTGCTCAAGGAAGATTCGGCTCGGCTGGACAGCTTGGCGTTATGGATGGCCAAGGCGGTGATCAGTAGTATGCTGGCAACTCGTTTTGTCTACTGTAGTTGTAACGAATGGAAATTAATCGATGTACTACAACAGCAATGCCATGCATGTTTTTCAGTACCGAATTGGCTCTTATTTTCTTGCTAAATGACGAAACATTATTATCATTACGGTACTAAAAGAGATCAGTACTGTAGTCAGTGAATACGTCAGCGATTGAAGTATTGGTCACAATTGTGTCATACATCGCCCATAAATGGATAGTGCCAAAAAGACAATTTGTGTTGATTTAAGTTTGTCTCCACAATAGTTTCGGTGGAACCTGGAATGATCACTTGTTCTTGACGTGTGAGGGTGCGACTAGGAAAATGTACACGTTCTCCGCCGATGTCGTTTTGAGCAGACCGGGGCGGGAACTCGCTCGTTTCTTCAGCACAATTACGTGACGTAGATCGTCGACCTTCACAAAGCAACACAACACTCCCAGTTAGCTACAATGCACAATGTATAATGTGTCGAGACGACGACTTACAATAGTCGGGTTAAGATTGAAGTAGTTGTGCCGGATCGCGTGTACATTGTTGTCCATCCAGGTGGTGTCGATCACATCCATGTCAAGGTAGTGCAGAGGGGCGTCTTCATCGCCCCGTGTCGTACCGTAAGGCGCTGACTCGTCATTGGTAGGGTGACTCCTGCTGCGGTTGTACGCGAACGAAGCCACGCCTGGGTAGTTCCCACGCTGGTTCACCGCTGCGTACGCTAGATCCAAGTCTAGTGGGGCGGACAAGTTCTTGTTCTGCCAGTTGAGAAACTGCGTGTCGGACCGACCCGCCACCTCGTTTTCTTCCGGGTCGCGATGGATCGTGTGTCCGCATCTGCCGAGTGAGTAGTTCAGCGGACCGACGGCGGATTTCATCGTGAGATACTCCGAGTAGAAGAGTGCACCATCCATACTGTCTGCGTACAGCGTGATGTGGCTGCAGAAGTGTCGGGAGCGATCGTAGCCTCCACCGTATTTAACAAAACCGTCGCGGTCGTAATCCGGGTTACAGAACGTCAGAGTCGAGAGTTCCAGCTTCTTTGTGGCACGACCTACATTGGTGTGGCTTCCTGAAGGCTGCAGCAGATGATGACGTTAGCTAGTTGACAGAGGACAAGCAACTGCTAGGGAGAACATCAGAAACGAACCAAGAAGACTTCCTCCAAGAGCCACTTGTTGAGAGCACTGAAGTAGACACGGGCCCCCATCGAGTGTGCGATGATGTTTAGCTTTGTGTACCCCGCATCAATCAGACTCTTCAAGAACAGAATAAAGTCGCCGGCTGTGCGTTCGCTCTCGCTTCCAACTCCTTTGGCTGCAGGAGCAACAGCAACCACAAAAGTCAGCAAATAGCACAGGCCAAACGGGTCTAGCAGCATCTGCTCTCTCACCTTGGAAATACGCGAGAACTCCTCCACTGGGCCAGCTGAACACAAACGGGTGAATGTAGGAGGGGAAGTCTCCAAGCGCAAGAAGCTGTGCCAGACGATTCATGCCATAGTTCAGCGAGCAGTTGTAGCCGTGTAGTAAGACCAGCGCTTCTTTTTCGCAGTCGACATTTGGGAGATCAAGCACTGGAGCAGACTCCTCCCGAAAGAGATTCCTTCTCTTGAAGCGTTCTTTACGCGGTTGACCACGCAGCATCGTTTCTTCATCTTTGTGCGTGAAAACAACGCCATCCGTCGGGGTCCGCAGCGCTGGAAGACACTCAGCCGCGCTCTGAGGAGCCTCATCCACGTACGACGGCGTCAAGTGCGTCACTGTGGGCAGGTATTTGAAGAACCCGCCTGACACCGAGCACTCCACGCTTGCCACGCCCCAGTTCAAACCGTTCTGTGAATGCTTCGGGAAGAAGAAAATATCCGTCGGACTTTTCTCGCCCCGATTGTGGCAGAAGCCAATGCGGATGTTCACAAACGAGTAGCCACTGCCATGCTCAAAGCTGCGGAACGGACCTATCGGAACGCCATCTTCCCACTGGCCTGTAAGGCATTCGCCGTGATAAGCTGTGTCCGTCCACATTCCAAAGCCATGAGGCTGGCCCTGGGCGTTCAATCCTCCGCAATACTTAACCACACTGCGCTTCCTGGTGTAGAATCGAGCTTTCGAACGGTAACTTAACGAGTTGGTCTCGACACCAGGCTTGATGTTCCACCAGTTCACGACATTAAACTTCTGGTGCATCACCAGCCACGGATACGCGTAGTGAGTGAACCAATAGGCCGCCACCGTTATGACTTCGACGCAACTGAGCAGGATGATCATAACACGACGCACTTGCCGGTCCGAGTCCGTCACTTCGTTTTCGTCGATCCAGAATAACACGTACAAGTTGCTAGTGATTGCGTACGTCAACAGCTCGGCGATAATGACCCAGTAAATGACCCACCGCACGATCAATGCCAACTGTACGAGAATACACAGCGCCAGAAAGATCACCACAAAGTAGAAAACGCCATCGGACAAGGAGGCCTGTTCGGTATCTACAGTCGTCAAATGATTCCATTAGTGGAATCGGATATTGTACTGTCAAAATTGTCAATTCAAACCTGAATCGTCGTTAGCTAAAAGCACAGCGAACACCACGATGATGTAGATGACTATAATCCACGTGATGAGTTGCGTCATGAACGAATACTTTTGGTACACGCCTCGATAACGACGTTGAAGTCGCCGTCCCGTCATCACTCCGAACGACCTACCAGAATTGTTGCATTTGCATTTCGTCACGATGACCCGTGTCAGCAGTGGTTACAGTACGGTACGTACTGGTGAAAGTCGAACTGCTCCGGTCCGTCCTGCGCGTCAGCTGCGAGTATCGGAGGGTCCTCCGCGTGTGTGGAGAGCTGCGCTGGACTGTGGTAGCTGCTGGAGAGAGCCACCTCGTTGGCCATGAGGCTGGCGTCCATGGCGGTGGAGGAACGAAGCGGCGTTCGCTCTGTGGCTGATGTCTGGAAATGCGTGGCAGTCCACATTCGCAGGTAACTGTCTGTGTCTGTGTCATCCACACCAAAGGCACACCAGATTCTGGATAATTGGGCTCCCACAAAATTGTCTCAGACACGTTTACCACAAATCTACTTCGAAGTACCAGATTAGACGTCCAACAATCAATGGATTGCTTTGTGTCGAACAACCATTGAAGTACAGTAGCAGCTATACTTTTGTGCTGAACAGTCTAGCGAATCGTAAGCATACTTCAATTACAAAAATATGTGTAAAACGACTAAAAATTCACGCCTTATGGGCGTTGTTTACCTTAGTAATTACCACTCTGTAAGCCTAATTGTGTTCCTGTACCAAATTGAATACTCCTCTCAAATGACAGGCTAGCAACTTTTGAATTCAAATTGTGTTGTCAGCAAGAATCCCCAGCAGATCAGAAGCTGCATCCATGAATTATTATAGTCGTGTAGGCGAGATGCTAGGATGCGGCAAAACATATCGTGTGCACTTCAAGGTCCCTGGCGTGTAAGTCTTAGCTAACGTTATCAGAGAACTCGGCGCTCGTACAGTACCTTCTCCGAATACAGTAAGTATACCCTTCCAAATTTTACCATTTTTAGATTCTAGCAAATTTTGATAGATGGGTTTCAGCAATCGTCAGTACAGTACCGTCATTGTCCATCTCAAATCCGCCTGTACCGGTACAGCCATGGCGACCTTTTCGCCTGCAGCAACGCTGGTGCTGACCAATCGGTCGCTGTTCCGCCTCATCATGAGCTTCATCGACGGCGTCCCGGGGCACATCTTGGCGCTAGTCACCGACTTTCAGCGTGATAATCGCGGCGTCCCGTGGTCTGCGACTGGCGCTCTCCCACGCGCCGCCATTCAGCGTGGAGACATCGAAACGCTGCGTCACTTCCGCAGACTGTCGACCATCAAAACGTTCCAGTCGCGACCCGAATTGGCATTCGACGCGGCTATACGTTGCGCCATTCAGTTTGGCCAGTTGGAGATCGCCCAGTACCTTGCAGACACAGGGATGCTGCTAGGAGACAGCAGTGCAGAGCATTTAACTAGTAGAACAGTAGGTAGTACGTTGATGGGGTGGGCGGTTCGCTACTCGGAAGCGCTAAAGTCCGAGAGAAAGCTGGAGATTGTAGAGTGGGTGGTCAGTATATATTCCAGATCAGCGCTGAGAGACGTCAAGGCAGAAGATTTGAGTCGAGCGGGGGTTCCTGTGTTGAGGTTTCTGAGCGAGCGAAGCCTGGCCACGAGTGGATTTGAAGATCCGAGACTGGTGGATTTGGTGGCAACTATGGGCAAGATGGAGACGCTGAGGTTCTTGTTGGAGAGGGAGGAGGCAGGCAGACAAGGACAGAGATGCACGTCCGATGCGCTGGATGGCGCCGCAGCGAATGGACATTCGGAGATCGTGCAGTATTTGCATGAGCAGAGGACGGAAGGATGCACAGTTGCAGCCATGGATGGCGCAGCTAGGAACGGGTTTATGGGGGTAGTGCAGTTGCTGCATACCCAACGGACCGAGGGGTGCACCGTTGCAGCATTGGATGGAGCTGCACGCAATGGACACCTCGACATGGTCAAGTTCTTGCATAATAATCGGAGCGAAGGCTGTTCGACTGGTGCGATGGATGGTGCTGCTGCAGGAGGATTTCTAGAGATCGTACGGTTCTTACATGACCACCGCAGTGAAGGGTGCACGACGAATGCGATGAATGGAGCAGCTCGAAGTGGACATTTGGACGTGGTCGAGTTCTTACATGGCAATCGAAGCGAAGGCTGCACTACGGATGCGATGGATGGTGCAGCCCTTTTGGGGAGACTGGCTGTTATCAGATTCTTGCATGGAAACCGAAGGGAAGGATGCACCACGAGAGCAGTTGATGGAGCTGCGTGGAGAGGACATGTCGAAGTTGTCAAATATCTTGTAGAGAATCGCTCCGAAGGTTGCACATCGAAGGCTATGGATACAGCGTGTCAAAATGGCTACCTAGAGATCGTGCGCTTCCTTCATGAGAGCGGAAAGGCAACGTGTACGACTAGGGCTATGGACAGTGCTGCCAGCGGCGGATATTTAGAAATTGTGAGATATTTACAAGAGAATCGCGTGGAAGGTTGCACAGAAGACGCCATGACCAACGCCGCCATCAATGGCTTCGCAGAGGCTGTACGCTTTTTGGGAGAGCACAGACACGAAGGTCCACATGAATACGCTCTCGAACGAGCTGCCGCTCAAGGCCACGTTGATTGCGTCGACGCGTTGATTCGCTGCTCGATACGCGGATGTCTTTTCGATGCACGTCGAGCCGCGCTTGAGGCGGGTCATCCTCGTGTAGCAGTCCTCTTGTCAGCCTGGATGAATCCTGCCGTTCGCGCGTGCTCGTCGAGATATTTTCACGTACGTTCAGGACCTCGATGGTGTCAAAGACTACCGCACACTGACAGGTTAGCGGCATTTAAACCGACCGTCAACGAGCATAAGACTGAGAAAGAATTAAGCACACAGAAGCCTGCTGGGTGGTGGTGGTGGTTCCAATGGCTCTAGAGACTACAGAACGAGACTTTTGACAACACTACTGTACATGTGTACCCATTTCGTTAGCTTAAAAGAGACCGAAGCAACGACGCTTCTTTTCCGCAGCTCCATTGTCAGTCTTTTGGACGGCAAGAAAGCGAGCGACATCTTTGTGGCCTGCGTCAATCGCACACTGATGAGCCACGTCGAAATTCCACGAGCCACTTCCAGGAGGCTGCGCAAACTTGCAGAGCGTCTTGACACAACGTAAATGACCAGCACTAGCAGCCATCTCCAACGTTCGTTCGCTTGGACCTTCGAATCGATTTTGGGCCAGGAATTCTACTACTTTGTAGTACCCATTTACCGCCGCGCCGTGCATAGCTCGTGTTGTGCATCCTTCTGGTCTGTTCTCATGCAAGAACATCACCAGCTCCAAGCATCCATGTGTAGCAGCTGTATCCATCACGAGTGGGGAGAAGACTGTGCAGCCATGTTCGTGCAGCCACCGGATGGCTCGAATGTTGCCAAAATCCGCTGCATGGCACAATTCGACTTCCGTGATCTTGTCAATGGCCTCATGTGGCCCTTCTGGAGCACTATGCAGCCACTCCATTATCTCTACATTGTCAAAGTAGCAGGTCACCGCCACCCCAAGCAGTCTCGGCTCATCGGTCATTGTCGGAGACTTGTCCCGAGTGGCATGTAGCCATTTCAGAAGTTGAAGGCTGTTGTACTGAATGGCGCAGCGACGCACCCCATAGAACTGTAGCTGTGGTAGGTTTTGAAGCCTTGGATTCTGTGTAGCTCTCTGCAGCACCTCGAGCATGTGCAGATCTCGTTGACGAATGGCAAATCGAGGCAGCTTTCCACGGAAGGCTCCGAGCAGGGTAAGGCAGTCGAGACTGGCATCGATCTTTCCTACGAGGTAGGGCAGCCCTGTTTGGAAGCTCGTAATGTGTAGCAACAACCCAGTGTCTGTCAGGACAGCCAAAGCAGCGCGTGGATGCGTGGCAGTAGAGGTCATGGCGATTCTAGCACTGGAAAATGACACTACATAGAACCTGTAGCCATTTTCAGTCTTTCAATGTGATGTTGGTCACACACAAAGACGACAACTTCAACTGCTTCTTATAAGTTATCGTTTGATTAAAAAAAAAGTTTTTGTTTATCTAATGGGGGGTTGTCTGTTCCCGTGGGCTTTGAGACCGATTTGTGTCGTTGTCGGAGCCTACGTAGCCTGGAGAAGGGTTAAGTGGTTCGGGTGGTATCACGCTGTTCTCCCTTGTACTACTACCTGCAATGCAGCCACTTGCTCTGCCTCCCGTGCCGTCGGGCTCGATGAACTCAACAAGATATGTATCCATCATGGGGACGTTAGTGAAGTTGATCTTGCGGTGGGGCGTACAGCGGATGTCGATCATGTCCTTGACCACCTCCTGTACCACAAGACTGACAAGGATCTTCTCAGGAACGCCATTCGACTCAAGTTCGTTCGCTGTGAGGGCGTCAGGCCCCCACATGTCGTAACGTAGAGTGGTAGTTCCAATGACACCACCGATGATGTTACCGATATGGATACCGATTCGCATCTGCAACCGTTCACCGGTATTCGGGTCCTGCACCTTGCGAACTTCTTTGTGCATATCTCGAGCCATGGCCAACAGGTCACGGATATGGCTACGTAAGTGCATCTGGTGTTTGTGCTTCAGTGTGCTTCGTCGTAAGAGATGTGACCTCAGCTTGGAGCCTGAGCCTCGTGGACTGCCGTTCTGCCCTTCCACGATCTCGTTCTTCCGTTCCAGCGGCAACACGCGGTTGCTTGACACTCTCATAAACCCTGAAGCGATACCTGCGATACTCGGAGTACTGGCCGACGCCACGTCAGCAATGGACATGTCGGCTGTACTTGCAGAGCTAGTTACCACACCTGGACCCAGACTCATATCCACATACGGCAGACCTGATACGATCACGTAGGCGTCTCCAATCGTCTGCATCTTGAACACTCCGTGCTTCTCAGTCAGCTTATCGAAGGCGCAGAAGAGAGAAGCCAGAATGTTGACCACTTGAGCGGTGGCGGCTTGGGAGGCGATGGATGTAAAGCCCTTGATGTCGGAGAATAAAATACCCACTTGTTGATGCTGATCGCACACCATTTCTCCTTCTTTCAGGCGCATCACCACAGCAGCCGGAAGCATTTGATACAACAAACGATCGGCGTTCATCGTCTCCAGTTGCGTACGAGTCTTGAGCCAGATCTGACGTCGTGTGAAGAACTCGACACTTTGGGACGCGATGATGTTGGCCACCACGGAGAAGTACGTGAGGACGATGGGGTAACTGGTTTTGAACTTGGAGTTGAACTTGGCTGCGTCCTGGTGGTATCTCTGCAGTGACACCAACGTCGTAATGGACACCATGATCAGCGCCATCACGTTAAAGACGACCACGTGACGGTACAGAATGGATCTGCCATTGGACACTACGAACATCGCGAGGACTGTATCGAGACACAAGTTCACATATCGAGGCGACGTGTCGAGATCTGCTTCGTAGTTGAGCCCCCATAGCAGCGCTTGCGTGAGTGTAAACACAAAGAGTCCAACGAGGTAGAATCCGAGCAGAACATTGCGCAGCTTAAACTCCGAGTAAAAGACGAACTCGTCCCTCACTCTCCGTGACACCAGGATGGCTACGATGACAAACGGACTCCGGATGAACAGTAGGATCGAGTACATCGTGGCCGAGATCTCCTTCTGCGGAGCATACGAGCTGACCACCGAGAAGACCTCCACCAAGAGATCGCGCATACAAGTGAAGGAAGCGTACACTGCTAGAGCAAGGAGCGTTGTGCGAGCGCCCTCTACTCGGTTGGACAGCGTACTCTCGAGATACTTGTTCTCCATGTCGTTGTCCTTGAAGCACATGTTCAGTAGTCGAATCTCCGTCAGCATGTGCTGTTCCACGCTTTCGCTCGTGTCGGTTCCTCCCCACGACGCGAGATCGGGAGGCGTGCCCAGTAGCATCCGAATCGGGTCGTATTTCTTCCATCTCTGTCTGGCTGAGTGCAGTATTTTGTTTCGAGTGGCAGCCAGGAAGTCCTGCTCGAAGGCGCGACGTACGTTTATGATCGATGTGGACATCATGGCCGAGTCTCGCTTGCCACTGAACTCCAGTTGACCCAGACACGACAGCTGAGCCACCTCCGTGAGAGGCTCCCCCACGAGATACGTGGTCATGGTTCCTTTGCCTTTCACGTCGATCTGTCGCTCCTCAAAGGTGAAATGACCCACCAGCTTCTTGTACGTGACTTGGGAGATCTGACAGCGCCCCGTCACGCCCGTCGACTGCATACGCGAGGAGGTGTTGACGGTGTCTCCGAACAGCGAGAACTGCTGCTTCTTCATACCCACCAAGCCACTCACCACACGACCGGAATGAACTCCGATCCGCAGCTTTATCCCGTCGCCATTCGACGCCCGACATTTGTCCAGACACGCCAACATGTCCAACGCCATCGACACAGCTCGCAGTGCCGCCTCTCGACCGTGATCTTTGCCCTGCAAGCCAGCGCAAGCCATGTACGTCTTCCCGACCGTCTCCATCTTCCGAACGCCATGTTTCTGACAGATTTGGTCGAAGAGCGAGTACACGCGATCCAGCAGAGACACGACTTCGGTGGGGGTAAAGCGGTTCACGAACGAGGCAAAGTCCGCGATGTCGCAGAATAGAATCGTCACGTCTTGTTCGTCTTCGCTGATCAGCGTGTCTCCCTTCTGCATACGCTGAACCACGTGCTCTGGCAGCATATTCTTGAGGATTTGAGTCGATCGTTTCTGCTCGATGAGTAGCGATCGACTCTGGAGAAAGTCTCGTCTCATGGTGATCTGAAGCGAGTAACACGCATACGCTCCGAAGGTAATGACGAACACCAGATACAACGCGAAAAGCATGAGGTCCGTGAGGTCCACGCTGTTGCTGTAGTTCATGGAGCTCAGTCTGTCCGCCAGCATGTAGAAGGCGAAGTTGTAGATCGAGAGCATCAGCGCGTAGAGGAACTTGACGCGAATCACCACGAACAGACCCACGGGGTACAGCGCAGCCGCGAACTTGCCCGTGTCGGAGATGGTCAGCGTAAGAGCCATGCCGATCATGCAGTACGGGAGCAGGATCGCGATCTGGTAGTGCTGGACGAAGTATTTGGTGCGGGCGAAGCGCATGAATAACACGTCGCAGACGAAGTAGCCCACGCGGATATAAATGTACGAAGACTCGCGTTCCCACAGCACCTCGTAGGCTGCGTACAGAGGAATCATAAACGCCATGACCTTGAGACACAACATCACTCGACTGCGTTCTCGGAAGGCAAACGTGATCTCGTACTCCATCTCAAGACGTTGATGTTCTTCCCCCATGAACTCGAGTGTGAGTGGATGCACTGGAGGCTGAACTCTGAGAGCGCGAGAGCTATGCGCGTCGTCTTCTTGCATTAGTGGGTCGGGATGTCCAATCTCCTGAGCCAGTTCGCGTTGGATGGAGACGAGCTGCTTCGAGAGCTCGTCGTGTTCTGTGGGCAGGTCGAAGTCTCGGAATTGTTGGCTCCACTCGCCTTCTAGTAGAGACGGCGTAAGCTCCCCCTTTATACTGCCACCGACTGCAGTGCTCGCTCCACTGTAACTTCCTTCCTCTGATCGCCCTGACGAGCTGTAGATCAACTTGGCAGCGCGAGAATGGTCAACGGAGCCGTCGGCGTTACGAACTGGTATGGAGGGGAGGTCACCGAGCCCGCTGTCAATCTCGAGGATGATATCGTTGCTGGAAGGCAAGTACATTTTCCTCAAGTACATGACAGCCAAGTCAACACAGAGACAAGTGATCGCCGTGAAGAGCAGCATCGCCCAGTACAGCATCTCGGAGAAGAGAATGTGTGCGAGACCTTGGAAGTCACGGAACACGTCGAAAGACGGGAACATTCGGTACGCTTGGGAGTACGCCCCCACGAACAGAACGTACGCCAGAAACCCACCTACCAGTGAGATATAATGCGCTCGAGTCCAGCGGTACAAGCACTGCATGTGTAGAGAAGCCTTCAGCGTTACTGTGATGATAAGCGCTCCATAAACAGCAGTGCCGTCCGGGAAAAGTCCATTCGTATGGCTGTCTTTCGAGGAGACCCCGCCCATGGTTTTCATGACAAAGTAAAACACCAAAAGAGAATGGAAGAGCGCATTTGCGACCCAGAAACTCAGTCCTTTGATGCTCAGCTCGCTCTTTCTAAGAGAGCTCCGATACACGAACGGGAACCGGAGGACTGCGCTGTCTCGAATGTCTTCATCTGTGATGCCGAGCACGAAAATGGGCAGGACCGTGTACAGCACATTCCAGCCAACCATCAAGTACGATTCGTACAGAGTTTGACCCGAGTATCCGTTGTAGAAAGAATACAAGAACAACGTCATGATGAGAGCCATGTTCTTGTAGAAGGAGAACAAGATAACGCGCGCCACTCGTCGATGATTCCAGCGTCCATGCACGAGCAGAAGTCGCGAAAGGTGGCGGAATGTGGCGATGGCGAAGTCTGCAGCACGCACCGCCTGCATCCCTTCGTGTCCGTAAATACCGATGCCCACATGAGCTTCCTGTATCATACTCACGTCGTTGCCTCCGTCTCCTACAGCGAGAGTAAGTGGTGTGCCTGGTGCAGCCTTCATCAAGCTCACAACTTGAGCCTTCTGCATTGGACTCAGTCGACAGGCCACCACGGTTCTACACTGAGAAGCAAGCTCGAGGAACAATTCGTGCGCCAATTGAACGTTGCCGTTGGGGTCCGTGATTGATGCTCGTGTTGATCCAGGTCTTGAGCTCGAGCGATGCCGCGAGTTTGGGGTCCCTGGGAACGGCAAATTACCCATCGACTTGGCCGACATGGAGCCACTAAGTCGCGTGTCTCGCTCGCTTCGTAGCACGTCGATTGTAGCGCTGTGAGTGTCTCCGTGAGGAGCCACTTGGTTGGCGTTGACGGACGATATTTGCGCTTTGATCTTGCTCGACGTGAGCGCATCAGCCAGTAAGAGTTCCAACGCTTCGCCGTTGATCACTAACGAAATGTCCTGAGACGCCACTCCAGGGACCCACACACCTTCTCGCTTGAGCTTCCGTCGGGCTTTCGCGATCTCATCGAGACAATCTTGCTTCGTCTTCCCCTTGATGATAATGATTTTGCTCTTGGGACCGATGAGGCCGCACATGTGAGCAACCGAGATGGCTGTTTCGTCCTTGTCTCCTGTAAGCATCCAGATGTTGATACCTCCAAGAGACAACTGGGAAATGCACTCCCTCACGCCATCTTGAAGGAGGTCTTCCACTCCAGTGGCGCCTAATAACTTGGTGCTTCTCTCAATTTTCCTTGCCACTTCCACGCATAGTTGCTCTCGACTTGACAACGCTTTCTTGGCGGAATCGAATTCGCACTTCCACTCGGTATATTCCGCCATCGACAGTGTGCGATAGCCAAGTAACAACGTCCGGAGAGCCATTGCAGCAAAGTAGTGCACATGTAGCGCCAGTTTGTTGATATCTTGGTCCTTATTGGCGTTCGCAAACATGACAGTGTCAGCTCCTTTTGAGAACACCAGAATGTCTTGGTCTTCGGATTCAGAATCACTGACCATGCCATCCAGATCTGTATGTTCCAGATCCCCCAAATTGTCCTGAACACGAGCCAGCTTGGAGTCGTGGCGATCGGCTCGATTCAATCGCTTCACCACCACAGACATGCACTTCCGTGTACTGTCAAACTCGTTCAAGGCCAGAAGTTGATACGACTCGGGTATGCCGAACAATCGGATGTGGATGACATCGCCGTCTCGACGTTCGTACACGCAGTCGAACTCCAGTGCAGCATTCAGAAGCGCAACTTCGTCTGGTGAGGAGCCGAAGAACTTCCGGTCACCCTTGACAAGGGAAGGGAAGGAATCCGTTGCCTCTACAGCCGCAAGGTTGCTCGTGAACGAGTTGTATCCGGCACTGTGGCGTCTGCTTTCTGTTCCTATACTGCTTTCTGTCGGTGTCCGGCTTACTGTACTATGAGCGTCAGTGTGATCCGAGGGGCCCTCGAGCGCTACAGACGCCGAATGACACAGCAACAGGCAGCGAAAGAATGGACGAGCCAACTCCACAGCGTGCAGCTCTTTACCGGAGAAACGCGAGGGGTTCTCCACGAACTTCATCATCTGCGAGTACGACCGAACGTCCTTCTCCGTCACAGACACGTGCTTGGACTTGCGTCTGCCATCCGTGCCCCCCTCTCGGCCCGAACTACCCCCTCGAACAGCGGAGGCAGAGCCGAACTTGAGCATCATATCACTGCCCACAGACAGATCTTCGCTGCCAGCTTGAGCTGCTCGACGGTGCTGCATGTTCGACCCGTCAAAGATAATACCGCCGATACTACACACCTTGAAGAGCATTTGGTTCTTGGTCAACGTCCCCGTTTTGTCGCTGAAAATGTACTTGATCTGGCCGAGATCTTCGTTCACATTGGACGTACGTGCCGTCACGCCACGACCAGTGAGGGGGCAGTACATCTTTGGGTCGTTCTCGATACGTCGCGCTTGGTACCATTTGACCACCTCCAAGCTGATGTACAGCGAGATCGGCACCATATTGTTGTACAGGATCAAATACGTGACCCACGCTTCCAAGACGTAGGCTGGGTGGAATGGCGCCACGAAGGGGTATGCCGACGCGTAACCGGGTTTCTTATGCACTTTTACAACAAACAGAGACGCCTGGATGGAGCTGAAGCAACACACACCGAAAAGGACCGAGAAAATGAGGAAGATGCAGCGATTCGCAATCCGGTCCAAGCGACTGAACTTGGACGGAATTGACTTCATGTTCTGCACCAATTTCGTGTCATTCCCACCGCCAACAACGACTCCAACGACCCATTTCGTGTTGCACAGTTTCATACCACGCAAGAGAACATTCTCGATCGTGATGGGGATTTCTTCCGCTTCCGGCGCATTTTCTTCGTCCTCATTCTCGAGTGACCGAACCTCCAAATAGGATCTGGGAGGTTCACCGATTGCCTGAGTTTTCGAGCGAGAGATCCGCACCACTCCGTCGAAACTGTACAGTCTTTTATTCGGCGCCTCGCAGCGTATCTCTCCATGTACAGAGTCTCCAAACTCTTTGGGTGTATACGGGATGATACGATTCCACTTGATACAGTGACGGACTTTGAGGTTGGACTCGCCATCGAGACTGGACGTCTCGCACATGGCTTCACCCGTTCCTTGGCTGGAAAATAGAAGCACTATGTCGGCCGGTACCTGTTCTTGATCGTGGATCTTGATCACATGACCCACACGCACATTTTTCCAATAGATCGATTGGAAATCTCCTAGATGAAGTGTACGCGACACGTTCTCGGGGTCCCTACTCTTGCTTCTACCTGGTTCTACCGTACCGTCGAGCGTCTCGACCTTGCCGTGGTTTACGACCCAGTCTTGTTGATGCCGCGCGCGATCTTCCAGCCCTTCCTTGATCATCGTAGCAGTCAGTACGAGCATCAAAGGTCCAATCGTCGAATATTCGTTCGTAGGGGACAAGTCTGTACACAACTGAAGAAGCGAGATGATGAGGAAATAGAAATTGGCCACGCGACGGAACTGCTCAAAGAGCGACTTTGGGAGAAAGTTAAGGGCTGAGTACTTGGACGAGCGCACAGTGTTGGCCGAGTAGGGGTCAGCGCGATGGAATTTCTGCAAATAGGCGGCGTACTCCATCGTGCGCTTGACGTCGTTGACAAATAGTAGTCGGCTCTTGATGAGCACCTGCGCGTTGTCACTCGCTTCGCTCGGGTTGTCGGCTACTCGGTTCCGGCGAAGCAGCCAGCCGAACAGCCCTGTTTTATTCTTTGGGTTCGTGCTTTGACTCGCGGTGGTAGCGTCTGCAGAGGAGGTAGCGTCGGCCTTTTGGGATACCGTAGCCGCATCGTTTGTCGTTGCCGGAAAGTTGTTATGGCCCGACCGAAAGGCTTGCGGAGGCAGCGAGAACGCCATATTGCTTGCTCTAGGGCCGGGCGGAAGAGCAGATTGGGCGTCACGCTCATGCATAAACCCGAAAACGATCGGAAGCCAGCGACGCCAGACTGCTCCACAAGACCTCGACAGCGATGTCGTCAGTGGTTTCTGCGGATCAGCGCTATTCACAGGGAGGCGCGGTTGAAAGCAAAACTGTCCCCTCCACCAAAGCCAAAGCTTCATGTTGAGTATTTTTACAGACACCGTTGGTATTTGCGAAACGCCATCTAATGCTGCTTGTACGTCCTCTTGAAGGGGGGGGGCACTACACTGAGAGATGCTGATAAGTCTGCGCGTCGATCGCGGTAACGACGCAGCTCGAGTCGTGCATGTACGCACTCGACGATGAAATTCATCGCCAATAGAAGATGAAGATGACGGCATTATTGGCAGCAAGAAACGTGCCGCCCTCGGCAAATCGCTGCAGCTGACGACCAAGTAATCCGCTCAACAGTTGAGTCAAGGTTGACTTCAACCAGCTGAACCATGTCCGATCGGTAAGAACATCGAGCTCTGATTCAGAAAGGAAAGTGAATTACCACTGAGGTGTGCTGCCCCCCCCCCCTCTCCTAAAAAAGGAGTTGCAACCGTGTTTAACCCACGACGAGTAAATCACGCACCCAACTTGACTCGGTCCCGCATCCAAAAGACAATCATTCACACAAGTCGTTAGGCCGTCGCGAAGGCATAAAACAACGAACGTTTACTTCTCGCAGTGGCCCATGCATGCTCATTGGAATTGCTTGGAGTGATCAATATTATGGGTACGTCATGTACACTACACCATAAACTATTGTTCGCAGCTTCCAAACTACAACAAAAGAGACTCATCGCTTCGTGCACTTCATGGCGCTCTTCCCTCGCGGTAACTCGCCGGCACTGCTGGTATTGACGCAGGACGAACTGCTTCGCCACATCGGCGGCTTCATGAGTGGCGTTCCACTCGCTGTGGGTGCATTTGCGGTTCAGGAAGCCGAGCGTGCGTCCAAGGAACGGAAACTACACTTGACTCCGGTCACTGCGCTGTACCCACAGCCTCGCGGCTATTTGCCGCAATGTGCAATCGTTCGAGACGATTTAAAAATGCTAGAGCTATTACTGCGAGTCTCCAGGCAACAGGAGCACCGCCGCAACCCTCGTCTCGAGTTCTACGAGGTTATACGCTGCGCCGTCTTGTTCAACCGACTAAACGCGCTCCAATGGATCGGAACGCACTGCAACCTCATAGGCTACGAGTTCGAAGGCAATTTGCTTAACTATGCTATTCACTATAGCGGGGATGTGGCAGTCATGGACTGGCTGCATCACCATGTGCCTCGGAAGTTCGTGCATATCCGTCCGTGGCAATTGTGCTTCGCTGCGTCGCGAGGGAATCTCACGGCTATTCGATGGTTACATGAGCACGACTATGAAGGGTTCACGCCTGGAGTGATGGATGCAGCTGCTATCGCTGGAAATCTGGCGGTCGTACAGTATCTGCACGACCATCGGACCGAAGGCTGCACATACGAAGCCATGGACATGGCTGCAGCGAATGGCCATTTGGAAGTCGTACAGTTCTTGCATGACCACCGCACGGAAGGGTGTACGACTGTAGCTATGGGGTGTGCTGCAGGCTTCGGACATGACAAAGTGGTCGAGTTCCTGGGGAAACATCGGATGGAAGGACCACACCCACGTGCACTCGAAGACGCAGCCAAGAACGGACACTTGGAGTGTGTGATACTGCTGTGCAGATATTCCACCAGAGGCTGCTTGTTTCAGGCTCGGAAGGGCGCTGCCAAGATGAAACACCACGAGATCGCCGAGTATCTGTCCAGTATCATTGAAGACAACGTCTGGAGCTGCAACCCGCGAAGACACGAAGGCGACGGCCCGAGACGATGTCAGAAGAACCAGTACGCCATGGTATTGCAGCGCAAACCATCTCGTCTGCCTCGATGCCACAGCAAGGCTCGCAAGGTCGAAGGAGGGTTGTTCTCCCGGATCTTCGGCAGTGACAAGGAGCTCACGCGACTTTGCTCCCGAGATGTGAGCGTGGTGCACCGCACGTCCGAGTCGCTCTCGACCCACGAGCTCACGGCGTGAGCGTTTTGTCCAGCTATTAAATAGGTAAGTTATTGAGATGTCGGCGTACTTGTTGGAAAAGGTTTTCCCTTTCAGGTAGATTACATGAACCCACCCAACCCAAAACTGTAAATAAATATAGCCATTATGGCGACTAGCGAGATTTTCATCCCCTGCGAAAATCGATTTGTAATTGACATAACTGGCCAGGACGTGCGATGGACTTCGAGGCGCTCTTCCCGCCGCTAATGCCTTTGGATGAGGCCGCCAACGAAGAATTTAGCTCTGTGGACATCAGCGTGGATGATATACTGCTGCCACCGCTGGAGAAGGCCGTGGACGATGGCATCTACCGCGCGTTGAGGCGCTGGAACGAAGGAGACTCGGCGCTGACTGACAAAGCGCTGCCTTACAGCGAGCGAATAAAGAAATACCAACGCATCGCTGCTTTAGCATTGCAGGGCAATGGACTAAGCAGCATTGGGGGGGAGCATGAGGATGTGGCGACAGAGTCGGAGGAAGAACATCCGCAAGAGGGGGACAGGGCGACGGTAGTAGCTAAGCAGAAAGCGGCCACTGCAGCTGTGAGACAGAAGAGAAAAGAGCGCAAGAAGCTGCAGAAGGAGATGGAGAAGGAAAGAGTGAGGTTTGAAGCCGTATTTAAAGAACTGGACGATATCGATGACTTAAGAGCCGAGAGAATCCCCAGCGAACGTCTGCAGAAGTTCGTAGACACCTTTAAGGTCAAGAAGAGACGACTGGCACAGAAGAGATCGATGGCGGATACGGACACGGCCATGTGCTTTGAGTTCGCTCGGCCGATGCCGGATGTGCACGAGCATGGGGATAACGACGAAGGGCAGCAGGCGAAGGACAAGGTGGGCAAGCAGGCTGCTCCAAAGGACAACGACCCGATTCTGTGGTTCGACGTGCTGCATCCCAGCAAGGATCCAGCGAAGACGCAGTCGTTCCTTGTGCGCCGCTCGCAGAGAATCTCGGAGCTTGTGGATCTCATTGTCTGTGCAAATGACGAGAGATTAAACGAACACGCGAAGGCGTCCAAGCTCGCCTACTTTGGTCAGACATTCTTTGTGGATCGCCGTGTTCGTGGGAGTTTGGACTACTCCGAGCAGATTTTACGCTGGATTCGAGCCAAACCGGAACGCCAGGCGAAGTTTGGTGCATTTACAGACAGCGATCGAGCACGTCGGAGTCTTCACTCGTCCACTTTTGCTGATCTGGAGCTCCACGTTGACGCGCCGGGAGTGTACATTCATCAGGGAGAGTGCGAGCACCTGCTACGTCTTCGAGATGCTCGTCTTCCACATGAACTTGACGCTCCAAAGAGCGCGGATATATTCCCTCTACGTTTACCGAATCCGCTGAACCGTCCTCTGCGCAACTGCCTGATTTGTCAGAACTACAGCGCCAAGTATGTGTGTTATGGGGACCGAATGGCGGTGGTAGACCCCATGTTCTTTTGCAACCGCTGCTACCGGGCCGCGCACTACGACGCTAGCGGCAACCTGCTGTACAACGACTTCTTGAGCTTCCCGTTCGTCCAAGACTAGCCAAGACCTGCCAGTTTTTTCATAATTTAAATGGATGGACCCAGTTACGGGAACTTGTCGTGCGCGCCGTAATCGTTATTAGCTGTCCGTGAGGCCTTGGAGAACTTGGTCAGGGCCAGAACGCCGATACTGCACGACGCGCTCACCACGAACATCATGTCAAAGTACCGATGAAACACGTTGAACTCGATCTCTCCCAGCACTTCGTCGATTCGTTGTCTGTGATTGTCGGTCACAATAGAGCGGAATTAGAGCTACAGTTACAGTTATAGATTCACTCCCACTCGTTGACGTACCGATGCAGCGGACTGAGGTTCATCCGCATGAGGACAAACGACGAGACAAAGTACATCCCCATGAGGTGCGCCAGCCAGAGCACGACACTATTCGACGATACAGTGCTCGAATAGGTGCGGAAGAACTTGAGCAACGTCACGAGGAAGCCTCTTGTCTGTGTGAACACGAGGATCCCCACAAAGCCAAGCGAAGCGACCTCCGACACGAAGCGAATATTCAGCTGTTCCGCAAGTGATGGCCAGATATACAGCAGCTTCTCCACGGCGTCGGTGATGGGATCCTTGTCTCGGCTCCTCCGAAAGACCACGTTAACTGTGCTCATGACCATCTTGTACACGCAGAAGGCAGACATGACATAGCCGAAGAAGTTGAACACGCGGCCCCGTAACGTCCTCGCCCGCAGGGATCTGGCCTGCACGTCTCTCATATCGTTCACCTCCAGGAACAGCTCTCGTCCGAGACTCTCCAGCGTCAAGATCTCTGCTTCAAGCCCCTTGATATACGTCGTGTCGTCCTGTTTCGACGAGAAGAAGCGGAACGCGCGAGAAAAGATGGAACTGGTCTTGTTCCCACCAGCTAAATCTTCTTCGTCTTGGCGTCTTGCAGATGCACGCAGCTCCAGCGTCAGTCGTTTCTTCTTGGCGATCAAAATATCCAGATTATGACGCAGCCTTTTCTCCAGAAACTCGATGTCTTCTTCAGCTACTCGTCGCCAGAAGAACGTCATGTACTCGTACGGGCAGTTAACTGCACCAAAACCGGACAGCAGAGCCATAAACAGCACACCAAGCAGACTGACGCGGCTCACAAAATTGCGAATAGAGAACAGCGCTGCGAATAACAAGACCAAAAGCCACAATAGCATCCTCGTCAGCACTAAAGCCCTCGAGTCTCCTCATCTACTGCCTCAATTTCACTCAATGCACCACCAATCGACGCACCTTCGACTGACTGACGTGGTAGATCTGGCTCAAGCACCCCGCCGACTCTCCAGAAGCCGTAGAGATAGAATAATAGCAGTGTGCAGGCCGTTATGGCGGCTTGCCGTCTCTCGACTCCATATTCCCTTGCCATCGCGTAGAACAGTGAGAGAGGCAGCACGAGCACCACCAGATACGTCATAGCGATCAGATCAACACGCCAGACCCACTGGCGACTGCTCACGTGCATCACATCCGTCACTTCAAACAAAACCATCTCAAAAATGCTCAGTGAGAAGGTCAGCGAGGCAGCGAAGAGAAGCGGTGTGGCGACACTGCGCACGGCGTAGTCGCGGAAGAGCCACCAGGAGAAAAAGAATCGAGCGAATAAGAAGAAGAGCAGCCAGCTGCCTAGCGCCATCGTCGCGTCCGAAGGTGGCAGCGCCCACACCGACAGCAATGACACCTGGGTCATTGTAAGGGTTCACAGTGAGGGTTTTGTGGGTTGGATTACCCCGGGGTTATGGATTATTGTAGGAAAAGGTAAGTTATTAAATCTCCCAACTGAGTATTTTTCGGTGCTGGGTTGTCAAATAATTCAGCCAATGAGAAAAGGAGCAAAACTATGTTTTGCCTATCATAGACCGTTTCAGTAGATTCGCAACAGTTTTCCAATTCTCTTGGAAAATTTATCGGGAA